TGAGCTGATCCAGAATGTTATCCAGTATCCAGACAGGAACAACGTTCACCCAGCCATCCAAGAAATCCACCATCGACCCGCAGTTCCGCGGCTGCCACCGCGCCACGATGTTCCTGACATATGGCATCCAGATTTCCCACATCAGTCTGGGGGGGAACATCCAAACAGATCAAAGTTAAGCTTAAAGCTATAGCCCCGGGGCTAAATAAACCAAATGGTAACTGCCATTTCAAAGCTACTTCCTTTTATACAGCTGACAGCTGGACTTTAACAGGCCCATCAGGAGAATCATCTGGAAAGCACACTTGTATCTGTGCTTCTCCATCCCCGAGGAAGCAGCACTTGCAGATGCTGCACAAAGTAAAACCCTTTTGCTCTTTACCTGTGAAAAGCATCTGTTGACAGGTCCTGCCCACCGTGTGACAACAGCTGGTCGTTTTCCAGGAGGCTCTTCCACTTGGCTATGATCTCTGTGCCATATGTGCAGTCCTGGAAATGAGAAGGCATGAGTGGCCTTTATCCTCTGCCGTTCATTTCAGCTGGTATCTACAAGGAGCAAGCAGGCTGATGGTACACTTGGCTCCAGCTCTCTCACCTGCCCAGAGCCAAGCCAGGAGCTTGCTGCTGTGATTAGTAAAGCCTCAGGAGAGGAAAATCCCACTCTGTGGATTTAATGGACCTCCAGGAGGAGAAGAGTCTGAACTGGTTCAGGTGTATAGAGAGAACCCAGATCTCACCTATCACAGTCTAAACAGCATTAAGAATAGACAGTGTGTACCTGACTGCCTGAAAGACAGACCTCCTGCTTCTGCTAATAACCAAGAATGAGAGGCTTGGCTTTCATCTGCTTTTTATTCCCAACACCCATGAAAGGGATTGATATTAACCTTAGAAGCTCCTAAATTGTAAGCCACTTCACAGAAAAGCAACCATCAGTTGTAGCAAAGGCCTGACAGCGGGTGCAGAGTAGAGTTTTGGTTTGATTTCTTTCTCTTCAGATTGATCAGGAATTTGGGACAAGAAGGAGGGGAGTCAAGGTAATAAAGACCACTTAAACCATCAAGAAAGAACTGCAGATGAGTCAAACTCATACAGACCTTGAGGGGATCCCAGTTCTTGAAGTAATCCTTCATGAGAGGATAGACTATTGCCACTGCCAGGTCTACCCTGTCGGACATTCTGTACTCCTCGTAGTACTTGTCTTGCAGCGTCTCAAAGATCTTTGCACACTCATCCAGCGTCAAGGGATTTTCACAGCTGGGCTGCATCCGTCTCTCACACTCCTCCACCATCTCCAGCACCTTGCTGAGGTTGCTGATTGCCTTCTCCTCGTGTGAGAGAACTTCAGATATCTTCTGTATCTCATGGGTCAGGTTCACAACCATGTCCCTCTCGAACTGCAGCTGCCGATCGTTCTGGATGATCTCCTGCTCCGTGATGTCAATGAGGAGCTGCAAGTTGTGCTCCAGCTCGGGCAAGGCAAAGCCCTGGGGCTTGAAGTCTTTGCCCAGTGGCAGCTGAGGGCTGTCATCTGGGATATTGTGCTTGTGGCTGATCTGACTGTAGCTGTAATAAACCTTCTGCTCCCGGCCCGTCATGTCTATAACCTGCCACAAACAAGAACAAACGTGTCTTTAAAATAACTCCATAAAAAAAAGAAAGGAGCAAATCCCTGGTTCCAGGCTGAAAACCAGAGATTTCCAAGTACTTTAATACTCTGGGAGGCTATTAATACCCACTGGTATTCCAAATGAGGCAACTGGGATTGCCTCTGTCAAGGCCTACTCTCTAGTAGGATGAATAAGAAATCTGAATCAGAGCTGGAAGAGCCTCCTCTTCTGATCTCAGTCCTGAGTAATTCTACAAGCAGTGATGACACAAGCTGTGCCTCATTTGTTACTGCACAGGAGTCTCAGGTACTTTTATACTTTTAAGACGCATTAATTTTAGATGAGCAATTTTATTAAGTGCACAGGAGACAAATCCCTCCCTGTCCCTTCCAGGTAGAAGATGGGTGCCAGTAAGGACAACTGTGCTTTCAGAAGCAGATTATTGCTTTATCTATGACAGATGTGAAACAATTCAACTTAACTTGCAATTAACAACCAAACAACCCACATTTGAGTTAATTTGCATTTTAGCAAGGCCAAAGACCTTGCTTAAAAGCAAACCCAATGGCCCAGGTGACGCAGTAGTCTATTATATGATTCAGTGATGAGTCCAAGGCTGCAGCCAGACAGTTCTTAACATAGCTTCTCCCCATGACTTGAAACCACTCACAGTGCCACAGTGGACAAACTGCTCCCCAGGGGCGCCCCATGTCCGGTTATCAACCTTACCTTGACTTGAGACAGCTCCTTCTGAGGGGTTGAAAGCTGCTTGTTGATCCTGCCCTTGGCTTTCAGTTCTTCTACTGTCTTATAGCTGTATTTGGGCTTCTTCTTGCCTCCACTGGGATCCTTCCGCCACTGGCTGAGCTCCTTTTGATATTCCTACACAAGAACAAAGAGGAGTTGTGGTTCCTGCTCTTTGCCATGTCCCAGATTTGCCTCTATTTTCCACAGAAAAATAACCCATGAGATGCATGAAGAATGCTGCACAGCAAAACCAAAGCAGTAAAGCTCAGCAACAGCGACCCTGTTCACAGGGCTGGCAGCGGGCTTCTGATCTGCTTTCTTTTCTTTAATCCAAAGATGACAAAGACTGTTTACCTGGGGGACTCTTTGAAGATGGGGTTCTGGCAAGATACTGCAATAACGTGAGCCAGAAACAACAAAGAACATCACAGTGACAAGAAAACATGTCTGAATGCAATCAATGTACTACATCTTTAGCTTCTCATCTCAAATGAGCTCCAACAGTTTTCTCTGACACAGAAGCTAATAATTAGAACTACACTTTGTGCATACGACATGACAGAGAAGCAGACAGACCAAGAACTGTACAAATACCTCTTCAGCTTCTTCTTCCGAGTCCACAACAGGGAAGTCCTGCAGAGACTGGCTGGTTCTCTCCGAGCCATATGCTCCCACAGCTCCTTTGCCTTTCCTCTGCTTGGCCTCGATGGGGTTGATAATACCTGTGACAAGGGAGTCAGGTCAGAGTTACTGAGAGAGCACAGCAATAGCTTTTCTACCCTAAGTTATCAAACCAGCATAAACACCAGAGCATCCTGCCTCTGGCTAACTACAGTCTCCTTTCCCACTCCACTGATTTAGTGGCTATCAAATCACTTAATTCCCGCACACACTAAATAAACCAAAACAAGTTATTATTCACACCTGCATTTCATTGCTTTTTATTCTATCACATAAAATAACATCTTTTCTGTTGACTTCCTTTGCAATTTACCTCCTTTTTTCCTTGTGCTCTTGCAAAACAACAAGAGCATAAAACTGGCCTCTGGTAACTCAAACACAGCTGAGGGTTATCATGAGGACCCAGATCACTTGCAAAAGATGCAAGTGAAGGAGGAAGGTGTAAGCCCCCTGGAGATGGCAGAATCCAGTCTCTTCCCCGAATCACCAGTTAACAATGCACCCCACACCCAATCACAGTACCTTGAGCATTCTTCCCAAGACCTCTTCCAGGGACATAACCCATCTTCTGGAGCAGCTTTTGCCCAATTCCCTTTGTGTGTCTCTCCCAGCTGCCAAAGTCCACAAAAGACTTTGTTCCCCCTCCAAAGCCTTTCTGACTGGGCTTGAAGTTGCCACCCTGTTAAAAGAGACAAAAACCCACCACACAACATTGAGGTTTTTAATCTACAACATGCTTAGGCTGGTTACCCTGCTCTGTGAGATAAGAAAAGAAGGCCTTTGGAAGGCTGTAAACCCGGAGCATGCTTCTACTTTAACCTCAGCTGACCAAAGGCAACACTAAAGAAGATAAAAGGACCTGAGAACACACAACAATATATCAGAATAGCTACCAAAGGCAGAAAGAATGGCTCCCCAGGCAGCACACTGCCACACAGGGCTCTATGGGTTTGATGACTTCTTCCTTTCCTCAGTGCCCCACTGCTGCCCAGCAGGTCTGACTCCAGCCCCAGCCGCGCTGAGCACAGCACACAGACCCGAAGCCTGCCCCGTAACTCACCGTTTTTAACTTCTTCGACACAAACTCCTTCGGGATTTCCTCCTGCTTCACCGGCTTCTCGTCCTCATCCGAGTCCTCCTCGGACGCCTCCTCCGCCGCCGCCTTCTTCAGCCCCGCGCTGATGAAGTTCACGGGGGCCGAGTAATCCCTGGAGCTGCACCGGAACAACAGCCACGAGTGACTCCTGCTCCAGCGGAGCAGTGCGAGCTCCTGCAGAGAGCCGGGAGCTGCTGCGCCTCAACCCCCTCCCCTCCGAGCAGCACGTTATCAACCGGAGAGCGCTTCATCGCCGCTCCAGCGGGCATTAACCATTTCCCCACCCCGACAGGCAGCAGGCAAAAGCCCCCCACCCCCGGCCCAGGTGGGAGCGCGTTGACAGCCCCCAAACCCCCACGGCGCAGGGCCGCGGCCCGAGTCCCCCCCCCCCCTCCGCCGGTACGAGCGGGGCCGCCCGGCCGGGAGGTGCCGGCCCGTCCCGAGGCCCCTGCCGCGCCGCCGCCCGCACCGCTTGCCGCCGAAGCTGGGCCGCTCCTCGTCCGAGTCGCGCTCGGCCCACACGCCGTAGGTGGCCTCCTCCTTGGTCTGCCGGTGGCGCTGCCGGTGCGGGTTGAACTCGTTCTGCAGGTCCCAGTCCGACACCTCGAAGCTCTCCATCTCCACGCCATCCTCCCCGTCCGTGCCGTACAGGTGCGACATCGACATGGCCCCGAGGACCGGACCGGACCCGCACAGCACCGGACCCGCACCGCCGGCGGAAATGAACCGGCACCGCCCGGAAGCCGCGCCCACAACGACAGAGCGGGAGGGAGCGGCCGCGCTCCTCTGTGGCTCGGCAGGCGCCCCCCAGCGGATGGGAGGTGTGTGTGATGCCGCAGAGCTCGGGAAACGTTATTACAACACCGTTATTAAACAACACTTTAATGGTGGACAACGGGGCAAGGAGGCGGGGATGGGCTCATATATTAACTCTGCAATAGCCTCTGTAAGGGACAGTGAAGGGCTGGGGGGGCACTCGCACGACAAAAGCTCCATGAGGGCACCCAACGGCTCCACGGGGGGCCCCGGTGCCATCACAGAGCCACGAGCAGAGAACACAGTACAGACACCAAGTGTGACTACACGAGTCCTCCGGGCACGGCAAACAGACCCTTCCCGACGCACATCCCGGGGCCTGACGTGCGGAACGCTCGGGCTTTGCAAATAAATGCAACCACGTTCCCATAGAGCAGTCATTTTGGCAATAGTATTAGCAAGCAATATGCTTGGATATCCGATTTCCACTGGTGCCATCGCAAACTCTTCTTTGTTGGGCAACAAAAGGCCATTTGCAGCATTCTGGAAGAGAGAAAGAACAGCCTCAGGAGCAGGATCCACTCACGGGTGCCACTGAAGGGTTTTAAAGCAGCCATGATACAGAAAATGACAAGAAATAAACCATGTCCCAGCACCTGGATGATGGGTACCCAGCTCCTACTCTCACTCAATGCTTCTGATCTTGCTTTTTTAGCACAATACATTCCTTTTACATAGAAACTAGTTTTTAAGGGGTCATTTGTAATAAGAACCGTGGAATGGTTTGAGTTGGAAGCAACCTTAAAGCTCATCCAGCTCCAATTGTGCACCGGCAGGGACCCCTTCCACTAGAGCAGCTTGCTCCAAGCCCCTGTGTCCAACGTGGCCTTGAGCACTGCCACAAAGAGAAGAGAGATCTCACGTTTCAGCACAGTGGTTTGCTGCAAGGGAGATGGAAAATCATCCAACGCATCAATGGCTGCGTCTGCAGCACAACCCCGGGCTGGCAGCTTTGGTTTCCAAGCCGACAGCACATGTGGCTGCTTTTAGCTCCCCTTCCCCAGGCTCACAGCACGTCCCAGGAGGCAGCGGGGAGCGGATCAGCTCAGCTCTGCCTTTCCACATGCCGTGTCAAGGCTCCCCGCAGGGACTCCAGGAATGACCCTCCCGAGCGCTGACTGTGCCTTTGCTGAAGTAATCCCGTTTCCAGCGCTCGGAAAAGGCTTTCTGACAAAGAACCTCCCATAGCAGCACTGTTCTGAGGAGCTAAAGCCAGTGTGAAGGAGGTCACGGGTGGAACGCGTGTGCCTGGAGCAGCCTGGCTAATCCATAGCACAGGAACTGCACAAGCAGGACCGCAGGAGTTCGCCCCATCCCAAACTAAAGCACAAGGTCTTACCTGGAAATCATTAATGTCCTTAGTGAGAGGATGATGTGTTCTGAGTCACCTGCAACAGCCCGCAAACACGAGGGTCAGCTTTTAGCCACCGGCTGCACCTTAACCCATCCCCACTGTGCTCCCAGCAGCAAGACAAGGAACGTTCAGGGCCCAGAAAGCAGCACGAGGGCAGGGAAGCAGCAGCCTCTGCCTTCACTGCTGGACTGCTCTGCACTACACAGTGGTTCTTAGCTGTCTTCAAGCACTGCTCTCTCAGTAGGGAGCCCCACAGTGTGCATTTGACCCCCGAACACCATCACCCCAGGACAAGAAGACCTACCTATAACCTGTAAATCAGACAAGCCACCCTTCCCCACGCAGGCACGACCCACAGCAACAATTAAGAGTTGTGGAACAAAGAGCAAGGTAGAAAAGTGTCTTAAAGAGAATGAGGAGCACAAGATCCCGACGGGTGAACACAGAAACCCACAGCATCAAACCACACACACAAGCAGCCCAGGAGGAGGTGGCAGAGATGAATGAGCAGGGCCTGAGGACCACAGGACACACAGGACATCAACAGCCACAGCATGGAGGGTGAGAGCAGCAAGGACAGCCCCATCATCCCCATGGACGGAGGGAAGAGCAGGAACAGTGCCTGCGGCTGCTGCAAGCCCACAAATGCCTGTAAGAGGGAGCAAGGGACCAGGCCCCCAGGATTAACCAAACCTCCAAGGGCCAGGAGATGCTCTTACCTGCGGATGACCTTTCAGATTGGCTGGCGTTTTATAATCCCCCTTTAGAACCTATGGAAAAGAGAACATTGGCGTGACCCTCCCGGGGCAGTGGCTCTACCAGCATCAGCAAGTGCACCTCATGAACTGTGTCCCATGTCCCAGTGTGCCTGAACCTGCTGAAATACCCTGATGGGTGTTTGTCCTGCAGGGGGCAAAAGCAGAAGGTTTCCCTTGACCCGACTGTGAGCAAAGACAGGGAGCAGCATCCTGCGGGGGCAGGGAACTGACACAAGCAATTCCCTGTTTCCTCCCTTAGCCTGCAGGGGGAGAGTTTTTTGGTCTTTACCATTGTGCCGGTTCTCCCAATTCACCCTGAGTAGTACGGAAAGCTCCACGTCAGTGACCCAAAGAGCTCACCCAAATTACAAGCACTGTCATGGGGCTGCAAAGCCCGGCCTCAGAGAGGAACCTGCTCCACCCCAAAGCACTAGAACCCCCTGTGCTCCGTTCCTGCTGTCCGTGGCTCTGCAGCTTCTTCCTTCCAGCTCTGCTCCAGGACCATGAGTCAGCTCCCACAAAAACGGCTGCTTTTGCCCAGATGCTCCACGCGCCTCCGCTCGCCCTCCTCACGGGAGCAGGCAGCGGCTGGTGAGCTGCGGGCCACAGCACAGCCCGTGGCTGCCCCTGCGCCGGAGCGGGCGCAGCGCCTGCAGCTGCACCCCGGATAACATCATCCAGCCGGCAACTCCCCGGCCTGGGCTGGAGCAGGGAGGGACAGAGGTCAGTACCGGCCACAACACAAGAAACCACCCCCAGCACCAAAGCACAGGGAGCAGCAGCAGCCGGAGCCGCGCCAGACTCCAATGGTTCCAACATCATCCCACTGAAGCCGCTTCTTCCCTGCTCTTTGCTGACAGGTCAGCAGCCCCTTTGGCTCCAGAGGGCCCTGGGGTGCACAGCCCCCCGACACTCACTCTGTGCGTGTTGTTGACAACCAAGGGGTCGGGGTGGCCGTAGTTGGGGGGGTTGGCGTAGGGGTCGTAGCCGAGCCTGGCCAGCATGGGTGCGATGTGGGCCATGTCCTGCAGCACATCCCCTGGGATGTGCCCGATCCACTTGGATAAGGCCTCCATGTTCACCGGCTTGATGACCTGGTCTGTTGATCTCTCTATCCTGGGGGAAACAATAAAGCAATAAAACAAGATGCTAAGGTTGGATTTCACACACAGGCTGGGATCAGACACAACAGCCCTTGGCTGAGTTCACCAGTGCCCCACAGGCTGGGTCCCCTGTACGGGGGGGTCATCCCACACTGGGCTTGGGGTGTGAAAGAGGAGTAGAAAGCAGCAGAAGACAAGCACCCTGAGCCAGCCAGCGAGGAGGGAGGGCTGGGGTGTGCCTCTGCAGAGCAGGTATTGCTTTTACCCTGCAATACCAGCACCAAAGCTGGCAAGCTCTGCTGCTCACCCCTGAAAGCTCTTCATAAGCAGCAAAACTAATTGCTCTAAGAAGGTATTTGTGGAAGGGTGGAGAAAAGAGGCATTAAAGAGCTCGTGTTTCAGAGCAAGCAGTTCCTGTCAAATTAGAGACTAAAAACTCTGTGCTGCCAAGCTGGATTAATAAAATGGTCACCTGCTCCTGAAAGCTGCTCTGGTGGGTACAACAGACTGCTAGCACTAAACCCCTTTCCTCAGGAACACAAAACCTTGCGCAGTAAAACTGGACGTGCTGCCCCTTCAGCCCCTGGAAACCATGCCCAAACACAAGCAAAGCCCCTTTGCCCTCAGTTTTAGCCTTAACCTGCTCTGTGTAAGAGAATGCTGCTTGAAAAGCGGAGGCAGGAGCCGAGACACCCACTTGGACAGCGACACCCCGCCAGGCTTCCCGATGAGCTCCTCGTGGTGCAGCACCGTGTCGCTCCAGGAGATGTCCAGGAACTTCATGATGGTGTGCATGGACTGCTCGGGGTGCAGCACCAGCTGCTCATAGTAGACAGGCAGGCAGCGGGAGCGCCCGATCTCCAGGCACTGCGAGTACATCACCTCGATGGCTTTGTTCCACTTGGTCAGGCAGTCCCGGTAGCTGTTGAGGTCGAAGCCCGCGATGGTCACCTTCCGTGTGATCATGGAGTGGACGGAAGCGCGGCCGTCTCGAACCATCAGGAGGAATTTGGAATTGGGGAACAGCCTGGACAGGTACACAGAGGACTTCAGCGTGAAGGGGTCCTTGTTGCACAGATACCGCGCCGGCTCGCCGTGCTTGGCGATCACCTCCAGGATGAAGGCCTGCATGGCAGCGTCCAGGACCTGGTCCGTCACCCCCGCCTCGTCCAGGCGCATCTTCTCCCGCCCCGACTTGGACCACGCCTGCCGCATGGCCAGCACGCGCGGGATGATGCGGGTCTCCTCGCCGCAGCGCACCTCGGGGTGCGCGTCCAGCATGGCCCTCATCAGCGTCGTGCCGCTGCGCGGGACCCCACCGATGAATATCAGCGGCATCTCCTTGCTGTACCGGTACTCGACGTGGTTGGAGTCCATCATGACCAGCTCCTCGCTCTCCGGTCTCATCAGCCTGTGCCTCCGCTCGCTCAGGACCTGCTGGCACTCCAGGACCTGCTGGCCGAGGTGCAGAGTCACCATCAGGGCGACCACCGAGCCCAGCACCAGCAGCACCCTCCTCATGGTGACCCGCATCCTCTTCTGCTTGCACAGGCTGGTGACCACGCTTCAGCTCTCAGCTAGCGAGTGCTCATCCCAGCAGGCATCTGCAAGAGAAACAGTGTGGTCAGAGGAGCAGGATCTGAGCCCAGCCCCTACGGCACCTCAGCATCCAGCCCGGCTCCTCTGGGATGCTGACACCATCCCAGGCTTTCATCACCTCTTCCACTTATCAGCAAGTTCCAGGCTAGGTGCCTTCTGAAGGAGTAATTAAAGTCTGTCTCGGAGCACACCCAAAGAGATTATTTCTGGACAGTCTGTGTACCCAGAAACACGGGTCTGCTGCTGCAGCAAAGCCATGGAGGGGCCGTGCAGCCAGGCAGTCCTCACAAGAAAACTCTTTACAGAGAGCCCGTTCCATCCTAGATGAAGCCCCAACCCTCCCTGCAGCTCTCCTGCCTTCCCAAGCCGAGCTCAGCACCGTCTTCTCACCTCTCTCAGCATCCCCCCCCCTCCCTGTGCTTTCTTCAGTGTCAGCGTGCTCTCCCAGGGGAGCGGAAAGCCGAAATAAGAGCAAACCAAGAGCACCTCATGCAAGTTTCAAGTGTCTGAGTCAGGAGAAGCACTCCCCCATTAGCACGACACGCTGCGAGAAACCCAAGCATGCGAGCACAACGCGGAGCCAGCGCTGAGCCCTTCCCCCGGACACTGACCTTACACGGAGCCCTGCAAGACCTCATGTGGCACCGGGAGCCTTTGTTCTGTGCCTCGCTGCGCTGCGCACGAGGAAGCCGCGGCTCCTCAAGCCGCTGCCCCAGGCCCCCCGCCAGCGCTGGCACCGGCCCCCGCTCCGCCTGTGCCGCAGGTTTTGCAATCCTGCCCTGGGCTCCCCATGGATTCAAGCTCTTTGTGACCCTGTGGCCGGGGCGGGCGCTGAGCGGAGCCCAGGAACGGGGCGTCCGTGCCCTTTCTTTTGCTGACAGGCCAAAAACTGCTTCAAAAGCGGCTTCTCCTCCTCTCAACTCCCTCCATGAAAGAGCACATTTAGCAGCGATGGGGTGACGGCCCTCTGGGGCAGGGAGCAGGCAGGAGAGCCAGCACCCCCCCAGCCCCGGCCCTACCTGCCAGCACAGGCAGCCCAGAACCATGCAGGTGCCCCAGGACTCGCTCCATCCCCTTCCAGCCCTGACATCCTGCTCCATCTACCCAGAGGGGGAAAACGCCAGCTCCCCACCATCACCTGCTCTGTGCTACCCACGTCTGCTCATACCATCCATCACCATGACTCAGGTAATGGGCCTCTGCCCACCCAGGTACATGCTTTCCCATCCCAGCAGCAAAGGAACAGCATCACCAAAGTGATTTCTGTGGCTCTTTAGCAGCACTGTGAACATCCTGTTAAACAGGATGCCGAGGGCTTGGGTAACATACTGAGGTTAAACACTCCCAAGCACATGCCCATATATAACATAAAAGACAAAATGTCAAGGGCTGGTCCATCTGGTCCATGCTGGTCAGGTTGGATGGGGCTTGGAGCAAGCTGCTCTAGTGGAAGGTGTCCCTGCCCGTGACAGGGGTTGGAGCTGGATGAGTTTAAGGTCCCTTCCAGCCCAAACCAGGCTGGGATTCTGTGATTTGTTTAGATGTAAATCAGAGGGAACAACAAACAGCTCTGGCAGCACCAAGCACAGAGTCAGATCCATTCAAAAGACAAGCACTGCTCTGCTCCTCCCCACTGTCTTCATCTGTTTCAGTCATGGAAGTTTACTGAAACCTTCACCCTAAAAACAACTGCAAATGCTGCAAGACCCATTCCAATGCCCAAGACTCATTCCAGTCCATGTTGCGGGGGCAGTCGGGATGTAAGGCCAACTGGAACAGTTACAGTCAAGGAGCCCAAGCCAGGCTGCCTCGCAGGGAAGCTCTGCAGTTCAAAAGGGAGGCTGGGAGCACAGAAGTGCTCTGTTCTCTGCACGCTTCCAGGGAGCCTTTCCCACCAAGATGCTCCCAGCAGCCACGGGAGGGAACAAAGGGACCCACTCATTTTGCTGTGCGAGGCAGGAGGCTGGATGGGAGCCGGTGGTACCAGCTCTGCGCCTACCAGCACAAAGCAGCGTGTCCCTGGGGATCATCCTGCCCACCGGGGAGCCACAGCTCCCCCCATGGACGGGCCATGCCCACAGCATGGATGGGAAGCTCTGGCTCTACTGTGGGACAGCAGGAAGGCAGAGAGGATGCTGCTGACGTTGGGGAGCAGACCTTCACCCTCCTGCCGTGCTCCAGCCTCTCCCCATTGCTGCAGCACACACTGCTCCTGCTGCACAACAGCCCTGCTCTGCCTCCAGCACAGCAGCCGTGGGCACTGGGATGGCTGAAGAAAAGCAAACCCCCCCAGTGGGATCACTCAGGTCTACCTGAGCAGGCTGAACAAGCATCCACGTGTGTGTGTCCACGACAGTGCTCAGCACGGTCTGCAGAGCAACCACCAACAATCCCAATTATTTCCAACCCTTTTGTGCAATTCCCCACTAAGAATTCCCCAGAGTTTATGGGTCCCATTACTCTGTGAGGAGAGGGATGACCAATTGCCTCCACAGCAGATACTCTGGTGGAAAACAGCACGGCACAATGAAGTGGCACAGCTGTCTGATCAGATGACACTGTGGTCCTTCAGAAGCCCCAGCTGCATCTGAGAGCCCTCCGCTCCCGCAGGAATTAGAGAGCTCTTGGGGCTTCATCATGGCAGGAAAACCAGTGCAGCTGGTGATGGGGAGCAGAAATCACAGCACAGCAGCCAACTGAGTGCAGCAGGGAAAGGCGGGTATGGGAGCAGGGAGCATGGGGAAGATGGAGCCAGTGGGGAAGTGACAAACGAGCACATAAGAGGTCTGACAGGCACAAAGTCTTCCTCGTTTCACATGCGGATGGGACACGAGTACAAACACAGCTTCAACCCTGTCTTGTCAGCTTGCAAAGGTGATGCAGTATTACCAGGGCAGCAGTGGTGGGGTGGCAGAAATATTCCTGCAACCAGCATCACAGGGAAACCAGCTCTGGGATGGACCCTCCAAACACACTTACCTCTCCCCAGTAAGTCCATTTTGCTCTAGCCAAGCTTCATGCTGAAACACCGGTGGCCACGAAAATACCTAATGGGGAAGAAAAGGCACAATGTTGATTTATCACACACATCTGTGTGTGCTGGTGGGTGATGTTCTCCTGCCCAGCACCTTCCCCTCCTGCCCACAGCCCCGCTCTGAGCACAGGGGAAGGGTGATCCCAGCTCATGGTCAGCGCCGGGACCTAGACACAGCACGGGCATGTCTTCAGCTTGGCACTGGCACTGCTTCACCACGGCAGCATTCACAGGGTTAAGGCAAAAGATGGCATGGAGGGAAGTGGGAAAGTGGCTGCTCCTTTAGGAAGTGAAGCCTCCTGGAAGGGAGCAGCCTCAGGACAGCAGGAGCATCTGGGATGTTCAAAGCCCGGGGGACAACAGTCCGGACATGGCACGTTTCCATCATATACAAGTGACCGGCGCAAGAGCCGGTCCCAGAGGAAGCCGCTCCAGCCTCGCCTGCTGCAGCTTCGGTCCGAGTGCTGGAACTGGGCAAAAGTCAGACTATGAAGAGAGTGCCAGAGCAGTGACAGCACGAGGACATGGGGCCCAGAGGACCCTCCAGGAAGGGCGGGTCACAGGGATGCCAACCTCAGCACTCAGAGCTGCCAGGACCTCCCTGGCTCCAGCCCAAGGAGCAGAGCTCTCTCCAGCCTCACCACCCGCTGAGGACCCCCAGAGCACGCAGACCCCTCCAGCAGGGAACACTGGACTGGATGCCAGCTTTCCCACAAGGACACGATGTCTGCACCCACAGGGACTGCACCCATGCTGGGATGAAGCAGGAGGGCTGGCACCCTGCTCCCAGTGCGTGCGTGGGACCACAGGCTTGCCATGGGGCTGCTGCGGCTGGGCCCTTCCCACAGTCAGCTCCCCCTGCATGCACGACAGCGTCCCGGCCTTGGAGGTTGTTTTGGAGAACATTTCAAGCACGGACACTAATTGTTATTCCAGACACCCACGTCTCCTCCCCCCCTGCCCGCCTGCCATTGAACACCACAAGGCCACTTCAGCACTAACTGGAAACCAGAGGGAAACTCCACCCAGCACGGACTTCACCGGAGCTTATCCCCAGCGCACGCATCGCCCTCCTTCCCTGCAAGGCTTCCCGCTCGACACCATCCTGGCCTCCATCCGCCATGGGACTCCAGTCCCGGACAAGGCTGCAGGTCTGCAGAGCAGCAGCTGCATCCCCGGTTACGCTTCACCAGCACCGCAGTGATCTGGGGCGGTTTCACAGCCCAGCCCCGGACACGCTGCTCCGGAAACAGCTCCAGCCCTCGCCCGTGCACAGACACAAACACACGCTTGCAGACTTCCTGCCTGGCTGTGCAGTGCGCCATCAACTGCAGTGTGCAGTGTGCTATTGACTGCAGTGTGCAGTGCACCATCAACTGCAGTGTGCAGTGTGCTATTGACTGCAGTGCACCATCAACTGCAGTGTGCAGTGCACCATCAACTGCAGTGTGCAGCGCGCCATCAACTGCAGTGTGCAGTGCGCCATCACCTGCAGTGTGCAGTGCACCATCACCTGCAGTGTGCAGTGCGCCATCATCTGCAGTGCACCATCACCTGCAGTGTGCAGTGCGCCATCAACTGCAGTGTGCCATCACCAGCAGTGTGCAGTATGCCACTGCCTGCAGAGTGCAGTATGCCATTGACTGCAGTATGCCATCACTTGCAGTGTGCCATCACCTGCAGCGTGCCATTGACTGCAGTGTGCAGTATGCCATCACCTGCAGCGTGCAGTGTGCCATCACCTGCAGTGTGCCATTGACTGCAGTACGCCATCACCTGCAGTGTGCAGCATGCCATTGCCTGCAGTGTGCAGTGTGCCATCGACTGCAGTGTGCAGTGTGCTATTGACTGCAGTACGCCATCACCTGCAGCGTGAAGTGTGCCATCGACTGCAGTACACCATCACCTGCAGCGTGCCATCGCCTGTAGCTCCGTAGCCACCAGCAGCCAGCACAAACCCACTGCTGCCTCCAGCTCCTCCTTCACCTGTGGCTGTGCTGGGAGCAGCCCCATGTCAGCGGAGCCGGGGACCATCTGCAGGGATGAAGCAACATCTCGAGTCTGTTGTGTTCGAGCAGCGAAGTGTCACAACCAACCAACAAAACTGGTTTCCACACGAAGCTCCAGATGATCAAATAAAAAGCCTTTTTCATTAAACCCTTCCCAGAAATGACTGCTGTTAACTGCAACTTCCCCAGAAGACGTAGGAGTGGCCTGGAAAACTTGAGCTCAAATCATCGGTGCTTCATAAAAGCATGAGGAACTGCAGATGTCTCTGTGGTGGGACAGCAGCAGAAGCTGTGGTCAGCAAGAAATAACCCAACAGATCTAGGCTCACATCTCTGCAAATCAGCAAAATCCAACGACTCAAGTGATGGTCTCCAGCTCATCCACACAATGAACACAGCTCGCCTGAGGGTGCCCAGAGGCGCTGTCACCTCCGAGGGCAGCAGCTGCTCTTCTCCTGGCCTCTCCCGGCAGCATCTTCTGATGTGCCTTTCAAAGCCCCAATGCCTCTAAGCAGGACAGAGCTGCTCATGTCCCGAGGAGGCAGGAGCAAACTGGAGAGGGGTCAAATGAGCCCTCAGGGAGGAAAACCGGGAAGAGCTGGCAGGGCCCAAGGAGCAGGAAGGGAATAGCTGCTGGTACACAGCCGCTCGGGGTGTTTCTCCATCCCAGTTTCAGAGCAGCTGGAGCAAAAGCAGACCAACACGTGTTAAAACACTCACCAGGAAACGGATGAGCATCCTGGGAAGCAGCGAGCACAGCACAAACACCCATCTCTGCGACACCAGCCCTGGTGCACAACCCACAGCTCCTTGTTCATCCCCAGCATAAGGATGGATCCCAGCAGGGAGCAGGGTCCGACCCTCCCCACGGTTTGCTGCCACCCCAAGCAATGCTGCAGCACTCAGGAGCTCTGTGCAAACCTAGGCTGCAAGGGAGCGACAGCCCCAGGCTGTGAGAAGAACCCACTCCTGTGTGTGTGAGATTGGCTGCTGGATGGCACCTACAGCGCCCGGAAGGAAGAAGCTGCTCTCAGCCCACCAAGGGGTGAGAACAGCAACATCAGGAGCAGAACAGCTTCTGCTTCTGAAGAGAAAGGTGCTCCAGCTTTGATAAAGCCGAACTGCAGGCCACAAATCCCGGTGCTTCCAAGGATGGTGAGACCCTGGAACACACTGCCCAGAGGAGCTGTGGCTGCCCCATCCCTGGCAGTGCTCAAGGCCAGGTTGGACACAGGGCTTGGAGCAAGCTGCTCCAGTGGAAGGGGTCCCTGCCCGTGGCAGGGGGTGGAGCTGGAGGAGCTTTAAGGTCACTTCCAACACAAACCAGGCTGGGACTCTGGGACTCCCACAGCCCAGAGGCCACTGGTGAGGGTCTTCCACTAAAGACCATTTTTCTCCCAAAGCACAATGGAGGGATATATGGAATTTATTCTTTCTGCTGAGTACCTACAAAACCAACCGGCAGAATCTGATGCCCTGAGGACTGCAGCTTCAAACACCAGCTTTCGGGCAAGGATGAGGTGGAATCCCTGAGCCACACAGCGCGTTCCCATCGCAGCACCCCGGCACAGCACCCCGGGAGAGCTGGCCAGGGGCACACACAGCGCGCCAGCCCGCTTTAACGGCTCTAAATCACATCAACAGACATTTCACAGCACAAATCTCCTGTCTGTTTATCGCCTCGGGGCTGTTATGATTAGAAAAACATTTTATTATCTGCTTAATGCTACAGTATTCCTGAAACAATAAAAATCCCACCAATTTACAGCATCTTCTCCACCCCCCTCTCATTCCAAGCACAGCAATGGCATTTTATCGTCCGGCGATGGAAACCACAGCATTCCCAATGCCAACCTCTCTGTAGGGCAACTGCTTTTGTCTCAAACTGGCTTATTAATTATGAAATGCCTGAAGTGAAAGCTGCTGGCAGGAGACAGTGATGGAGGCACCCACTGTACCCACCGCATGCTGCAAAGCTCTGGTAAAGCCAGGAGGGAAGGGGCTCACCATGTACCCCCCTGGATCGAGGACAGGGTTGGGAGGTGCAGCAGTGTGAGGGGATACAGGCAGGGAACGGAGAATCCCCCCACACTGCTCTGTACCCCAAGGGATGGGTACCACAGCTTGGGGGGTGTCTGTGACCCCAATAATGGAGGGGATCGGCGCAGTCTCCGCTGTCCCACAGGGGACAGGAGCTCAGTGCTTCAGGGTCACCTCAGCCTTTTCATCAACCCACAGCTCCAGCTCACAGCTTCAGCTCTTGTTAATTACTCTGCATCGCTGCCTCTGGGGATGAAGGCGCCTGCAGCCTCCGGGTTCATTCACCACGCTCAGTGCAGACAACTCTTCCCTCTCAAAACCAAACAAAGGTTCCCCGTGTGAATGTGGGTGGTCAGAGCCCGACAAGCAACAGGGAGAAAGAGAAGAGGAACTGCTAGAAAAAAACAAGTATCTTCAAAAGCAATATTTTCCCAATCCACACGCCAAACCCTGAGCCTCAACAAGCTCCATTCTTGCACGCACAAAACCGGGATTTGCAAATAAAAAATTGTTTCTGCAAGAGAAACCCCAAAACCTCAAATTTGCTTAAGAAACAAAATCAAAGTATTTTATTTCCCCATGCAGCAGCACCAGCCATCCTCGGCGCTGCAGGCACTGCCTGAGGAGAGGGTGATGTGATACCCTCGTGCAGCTCCATTGCCTGCATCCCTGCTCCCATGGCTCCTGGTTGGCGAGTACATGGTCCTGAGCATGGGCCAGCCTCAGGATCTCCACCACGGCTCAGCACATCAGCTGCCACAAGAGCAGGCACTTGGTGTTTTCCCAAAGCCAGTCATTTTGGGGAGGGCACAGCGCGCTGCCCAGCACCGACTTCAACAACAGTGGATACGTGGCTGCCTGCTCGATACGGTGCAAAGCCCACGCGCGGGCGCAGCCCCAGAGAGGACACGCAAGCCCTGGTGAAGCCACGGATGGCAGAACAGGAACCGGGTCCTTCCGAGAC